CTCTGTGTGTGTCTGTGTGTGTGTGTCACACCCTGAGCTCTGTGTGTGTGTGTGTGTCACACCCTGAGCTCTGTGTGTGTGTGTGTGTGTGTGTCACACCCTAAGCTCTGTCTGTGTGTGTGTGTCACCCCCTGATCTCTGTGTGTGTGTGTGTCACCCCCTGATCTCTCTCTCCCCGTGTTGCAGATGCTGGCCTGCAGCGCCGTGTCCGTGCACCACCCGCTGCCGACGGCCGCAGACCTGCAGGAGGCCGGCAGGCAGCACAGCACCGACTCCAAGGCCAACATTGTCCATGGTAAAGCCCAGCTGCTCCCAGAGCTGCTCTGCAGGCAGGGGGGGTCCAGTCCCTCCTGGAATTCTCCTGGTGGAGGAGAGGCCGTGCAGGGAGTGCTCCAGGGTGGGAGCTGCACTGGCAGTGCCCAGGGATCAGCTCTGGGTCACACCTGCCCGTGGCTCCAGCAATGCCAACTTGGATACTTCCAGTTCTTGCCTTTGGGTGGGAACAGCCCAATCCTGAACATTTCTGCTTCAAGTACACAGCAAACAAAGGTTCTCTTATCAATCCTCTCCAGTCTCAAGCTGTACCAAAGGAAATACAGGTTGGATATTAGGAAAAAGTTTTTTTACAGAAAGAGTGATCAAGTTCTGGACTGGCTGCCCAGAGACGAGTCCCCATCCCTGGGGGTGTTTAACAGAGCCTGGATGTGGCGCTGGGTGCCAGGGTTTAGTTGAGGTATTTGGGCTGGGTTGGACTCCATGATCTGGAAGGTCTCTTCCAACCTGGTCATTCTGTGAATTTTCTAAGACTTGGAATTCTGGAATTTCTTTACATAATAATGATACAGAACAGCAAAGGGTGAGGCCCAGAGCATATAAAATAGAGGAGTAAGTGGAGTGGGTGAGCTGCCTGTGTTTGTGATGTGCTCAAGGGAAATACTCAGGATTCCTGTCTCTCCCTGCAGGTCTGTCTGTGCTGGAAATCTGCCTCATCATAGCCATGAAACACCTGAATGAGGTCTATGATGGAGAACCCTTCAACTTCCAGATGGTTTACAATGGTGAGAGCAGTGCCTGAGCTTCACAAACCCTGCCCCACTCACTTCCTTCTCACTGCCCTTTCCTTCTCCTGCTGCTGCAGAATTCCAGAAGTTCATCCAGAGGAAGGCACACTCTATGTACAACTTTGAGAAGCCAGTTGTCATGAAGGTGAGCCTGAAATGCATTTTTCCTTTGAGTTGTGAAGTACTTTGGTTGTAGTTCCCGGGTGTTGCCTTCTGATACAAGGCAGGCGGCCTGGTTTCAGGAAACAGCACGGCGACCTCCTTCTCCGGGGTCGCTCGGGCCTAAGAAACACGCGGACACCAATATGGTGGAGGATCAAAGGCCTTTATTCTCTCTTCTCGTGGGGTTTTATAGTCTAGGGGGCTTCTACGTC